ATTACATGACCCAGAAATTTCATCTGTCTTTGATTGTAAGAAAACAATTAAAATGCTATTAAAATGACTAATGAAATAAAAGTAAACCTTAGAATTTCATATTTAATAGAATTTTTAAAAAATAAGGTCTAATATCTAAAATAAATAGGACATGCAACTGTACAAAGAACATTGGTTTTGTTTTTCATAATGGAAAGGTACAATAGGAACTATTATCCTTTCCACACACTTTCCAGGTGTTCCTTTCTCAATTTCATAAACAAATTTAAGAAAATTAACTGAAAGTATAATTATATATTTGAAAGGATGCTCTGTAATTACCCTGGTTTATAAGAAGCTCATATGCTGCAAATTTATTGAAGAAAGTTTTAGTTCAGAATAGTTTGAATGCACAAGCAATCATAATATTCTTGATATAATGAATTTCTATGCTTTCTGACACTACTTGATTAAAAATTTCTAAAATATTTTTAAAAATTATAAAATGATATCTAAACTGAGTTTATGACAACTTAGTATCAATTAATGTTTTTCATTTAATGTATCACAGAAAATTTGTTGTTGTTTTTTTTATAAAGGTTATAATTTTCTGAGAATCACCAACATCTGATGGGTAGACATAGAAATTAGATGCATTTGGGGGTTTGCCAGATTGATGGCTTATCACTTATCTGATTTAAAAGAATGAAGAAAGGAAATTATATACTCTTTCTTTACTTTTTTTTTTTTGAGTAAATGTTGCATTTACAACTTTTTTTTTAGAATAACAATGATTTTTTCCAAATACATGTTCCACTATTTAGCCCATAGCCAAGGAGAATATGGATTTATATATTTCCCAAATGTATTTGTGCATGTGAATGTAATGAACTCAGCTGGAATTCAAATTGAGCTCAATAGAAATATTGTTACATTTGAATTAACTCAAAAACTGTTATTTAATGTTTTTTATCATCTGCAACAAGTTGAAAAGGTGACTAAAAATAGGTTCCCCTGATTTGACAAAAGCTAACTATAAGGCAAGAATAATCATTAATGCATCTCATCATTTTTGGACAAATCAATGAATATAAAAATGAATATTTTACATGAATATAAAGCAATGCAAAAAATTGTTGAGAACAAACCAAAATGGACCTCTATCCGAGGAAAATATTAAGTGTTTGCTAGAATTGTGTTAGTGTGATCCACTGAGTTGCTACCAGTCAATTTGATGATCACAGCTGACATTTATTGTCAATAGTTATAGCATTAAAACTGCTTTGAAAGAAAAGGAGCTTAGTTTGACCAACTGAAAAAGTGTAGTTTTCCATCATGGTAATGTTCAAGTTCTAAACAGCAAAGATTATGTCTAAAAAGAATGAAAATCTTGATTGGGGAAAAAAAAATCAACATTGGAAAGAGGTTACAGATAATGATGGAACCTATGATATTAAATTCTTTGTAAATAATTCTTTTTAATATTTTCCTGGTCCTAAATTTGGACATTACTTATGGGATAATCAGATATCCTGTAAATATATTTCAACATTATCTTAAGTGATGAAATGGCTTGTGAAACAATATCCATGCTCAAACTACCTCTATAATAACTTTTTCATTTTTTAATATTTTTTCTAGACATATGTTTTCAGAGTTTTTAAAGTTGTGTCTAATAGCTCAGAGAGACTTAATTGCTAAAACGTACAATGAAAACCTTGAAAACAAAGCTTTTCACCTTGTATTTCCATACCAAACTCAACAGTCACTGAACTGAAATTACTAAACAACCTCCTGGACTGCTTTTATTTGGTGCTCAGCATTGATATTACCCAGTTGTTGGCATTTGATATCTTGATGACCCCCCAAGCACTGGTGGTCCAGCTAATCTCATTGTGCATAAACTCTGTTCTGGCTGGATCAACTTTGCTAAGCCTTGTCTGATCAATGTTGATAGTGACCCATTGAGCACTTAATCTTTCATAAAGCTCAGATAATGTAATGGATGCTCAGATTCTCAATTCTCTTATCTTTCCACCAACTGTGTTCTAGTCTCAAGGCCAACCGTAAGACAAGAACATGATCAAATGACTATGATTATGCCTGCTTGATACTTAACAGGGATGATTTTTATTGAACTGTTTTACTCTTCCAAAGTGTTGCACATTCTTATAGTGCTGCATGTTATATAGAGCATAGTCACCTTTGGTCTATCAAATAGATTGAAGCTAAAATCATACACAACATCAGCTGGCAACAAGTCTCTCTTCCCGTTCAGTATGATAGACTCAGCCTACAGTCTACAATCAATGTGACCCTCTGCCCACTCGTCAATAAGTTTTTCTACAGCATAATTGAGCTTGAAGAGAATGACAAGTACATTGGGACCTTTTCATTTATTTATGTCAAACTGGTCTCAAAATTCCAGTTACCACAACTAAGCAGCATGGAAGAAACAGCATGCAAAAATGTATTAATCAAATTTCAAGTCATATTTGGTACTATTCAATTGCTGTATACATAGCAATGTTGTCTTACATCCGCTACCTTCACATCTGTAAGTTTTAGCATTGTCACTGTAGAACTATTATCAACCAATACTGCCTATATTAGTTATTTTATTGTCTTTTATTTTATTATATATATATATATATATATATATATATATATATATATATATATATTGTCTTTTATTTTATTATATGCAGCCCTCAATGATCTTGTTAGGAAGGGTTTCTTGAATAGGTTCCATGGTAGCCAATTTGTGCTGAACAGTATAAGACTGTCAGGCTGTCCCAGAAATTTTCAGCAACAATCATTTGCAGCAATGTGCTTGCCATTATGACTGCAGGGGCTTATTAAAAATAATTTGACTGTTATTGTTAAAATATTACATATTTTGTTATTTTAAAAAAACAATTTAAAAAATGTTCAGCAATCAGAAACTTTACATACTCAAGATGATTATTCCAGTTTTCTTGATATTGCTTTGTTGCTATTGTCATTGTATAATTTATCAAATATCTATATAAAAAAGATAAATTACAAAAATAATATTATTTAGTAACTCAACGAAAAGGTAAAGTCTACATCTTTTATCACATATATAATTCATGTACTTATAAATTCATAATAATAAAAATCAGGTGGTAAACTTATTTACATTCAACTACATTAAATATGTTCACAAAGAACATAAAAAGAAATAATTTTAATGAATGTTTTGGGCAACTGAAAAAAAATACATGCTTATTTATTGTGAAACTTCTTCTGCCACTGGCAAATGAGGCAGAAAATCTATCCATACAAGTGAATTCATTCAACACTTTGCAACGTTATACATTGAGTGACCCACAGAAAAAGCAAGTAGAAGAGATAATTCTTTAATTAAAGTTATTTTCCCTTTCTAAACCAATTCCATTATTTTTTTTTTTAAAGAACATTACCTGTAGAAGGTCTGCTTGATGAACAATAATCACCTGTACAGTAAGAGATTAACCATGAAAATCATTAAATGAAAAGAAATACAGGTGTTCAAAGCAGGTATTTCCAGATTGTGTTTGTAAACACTATAATTATCTTCAGTTAAATTAAAAACATATATTAACTAATGAGCTTTAATAAAAGAAAAACCCTTGCAAAATAACTTACAAAAAGACATTTTTTGCATAATAGTGATAGAAACCTTGTTATGAATTATACAAGCTTTTTAAATTTTCAATTTAGAAATAGTTCTTCCTCATACCTTCATTAAAATTAATTGTAAGTATTGTACTATTCATTGTTGTAAAAAAAGTATTAATGCTGTCAAAATTAAAAACTTGAATTTTAGGATTTAAGTAAGCAAAAATAGATAAATTTAATTTTAGATGTACTGTTAAGGTAGAGGTGACAAAAATTGTATATAAAACCAATGAATTTAATTAGACAGTAGGTACTGAGCTCAGAACGAGTAGCAATGTATTAAATGCATGTGTAACTTTTACTCCCATCTCTGTCATGCATCCGTTTCAATAACTTTAACCAAGTTTAGGATGAGAAGATCTTCAAGTTTAAAGTTTATAGAAGGTTGCAAACAGTAATTATCTAGTCATTAATAGATAATGAAAGTGTTTTATGCTAGCTCAGTTATCTTAACATATAAGATTAGCTGATAGAAAATGTTGGAACTGCACCTTCAAACATTTACTAGCAAATTACATAGAAAATATCTTTTAAGAAATCATTTAATCATTATCTAAAATAGTAACTATTTCAGAAAAGAAACTAAAATATGTTGCTTGTTCTTTTATAACATTTAATTCCATTTTCTACAGTAAATAGAAAACTATTCTAATAAAAAAAAGTATGTCATCAAAATTGTCTGATTAATAAAGATAAGTATTTTTAAAAGATACATTGAATTACTTTATTTGGATAAAAAAAATTGTAAGCATTGAATGTAACTTGATAAGACAAACTATTTTTTCTCCAAAATTTCCATCTTTCACAATGATTAAAAATCCAAGAAAAACTAAAGAAAATACAAAGATGTTCATTTTATTCTGTTAAACATCTACGTAAATATAAACAAATTACAACCATATGCCCGTTATATTGCAAAGCAAAACATTCTCTTGGAATCAGCAAAATAGGACAAGTTAGAAAAAACAGCTAGTTAACAGGCAGCAAGTGAAGATGAGAAAATATTTACTGAAAGACTTTCTAATCAATAATAGAAATAAATGTTGCCTGAGTTAATCATTTTTTATTTGCTAATAGATGCACAATAAACAGCAGCTAACAATAGGAATGTAAACATCTCATTTTCAAGGTGAAAAATTATTAATTTAGAATAATAAATAACATTTCTAAAGCAGAAGTAATTTTTTTACAATTATTTTTCATTTTATTAAAGTCTATACATTAGTTTAAGAATCTTTTCTTTTATGTATCTGAAGTATGAAATCAATCTTTTTTTCAGCAGATATTCCAAATGAAAGCATTTCATATACACCAAAAATACTACTAATTCTAATTTCTTAATTTTTTAAGAGAAAAAATAAATTAAAACTTCTCCACTCACCATGGTTTTTCTCATTGAGCAAAGACCTGGTAGCTGGAATGAACATCTCCATTAAATCTGGAACTTTTCTGATAATTCGGAAAGCACAAAGAGTTGCCTAGAAAAATAGAAAAATCTCTTTGATAAAATTATAGTTAACCTAACATAATTATTAATTTATCATTTGCATGATCTAGTTCATCTAAGAAAAGAGATAAAATTAGCATGTTTATATGAAAATAAAGATACTATAACAAAATAGAAGAGAAAATTTGTATGATGCAGTTTACCACTAAATTTTATTCCTGAAGTTGGATGAAAAAGCTATTTACCTTTTTCTTTATATAAGCATTTGAAGATTTTAACAATTTTTCAACTTCTCCAGCCAAATCTCTGCTCATTTCTGTAGAACAAACAGAACCTAAGGTACATAATGCCAGACTCTGGATATATTGGTTCTGATGAGTAAGATCACTGAAACAGTAATTAAAAGCAATATTTTAGCAATTGGTAGATATAAAATTTAATGATTTCTTTAGTAATTAAACTTTTGTACATAAATCAGATATTAAATAAAAATAAAAAAAAATCATATATAAACATGCAATTACATGAAATACAAATGCTATATTTTTCATTCTTTTATTTTTATAGCAACAATGGTTTCCAATTTAGTTAAATGAGTAGAAAGTCAATTTAAATTTTTGTGTTCACCTTGTTAGAGTGCAGGTAATTTTTCATATTTATAATTTTCTATTTAACTTTAAACTTAATGTGTAAGGTTCAGTTCATGTACTGCAATAAGGTGAAAAGTCATGTTTGCCAGTTTTTAGGCAAACATTAATCAGTCATACTTAAATTTTTCTAATACATATTTTGGACTTATTTAGATAAAGAAAAACATAAGGTCTTACAACAAATTCAAATTTTAAATCAAGAAATAATTTTGTGGTATATTGACATCTATATGTCATATTTTTATTTTTTTTATTGATGCTCTAACATTTTTGACAAATACTTAGTTTCTAAGTATTTAACAAAAATGTTTTACCATCAATATTTTATAGTAAATAAAACCATCTTTGAGCTGCTTAACAAATTTCTCTTTAAACAGAATCATAAAATCTTTCCTTGTATCAAATAATATATGAATTCTTTTAGTAAAAGCTGGGGATTTTGATATTTCCATAACAAGTTAAATATGAATATGGTCTTTTGGTACACAGACATCAACAGTGATGCTATAGGATCAAAAATTAGTTTATTTTTAAGTTGACTTTTATAGAAGAAAAACTGTTTTGGCATCTTTCTTTAACAAACAGAAGCAGAAAACAAGAAAAAGTAATGCATTGTTTGCATTGATTAGAGCAAACTTTCTTGAATGACGTCCATGATTGGTGTTCACATAATGCAAAAATCATCAAAAGAATAATAAGCAAATACATAAAGAATATTTTCTTACTTTTTTAATGAGTTTGTAATCAGAAGGTGAACGTCCTGTCTTTCATCCAAAAGTAACATTGCTCCCAAATAACCAATTCGTTTGTCAGTGAAACGAGATGAGGCTATCAACTTCAAACATTCCAGCTGAAAAATAAATTAAACAAATATAACCAAGTATTTTCCTTGCAGCTGAATGAAAAATAAACAGGTAATGCATAATACTCTACTTCATGTATTAAGTTTCAACAAGATTAGTTGAAAAAATAAAACTTAAAAATTAGAGCTCAGAAATATGCTTACAATGATCAAATTAAAAAATAATTTGATCCATTTAGTAATGAGGGCATCTGAGCAGAAGTATTTATTCATATTAATAAATATCACTTTCATATGCCATCTAAAAAAAGCAAAGTAATCTTGGTAAAAAAAAAGATTACTTTGCTTTTTTAAGATGGCATATGAAAGTGATATTTATTAATATGAATATTAAAGAGTTACTCACATTACTTCTGCCCAGATGCCCTGTTGAAAATATGAATTTTGATTAAGATTTTCAAAAACATTCTTGTTGACACCATAGGTATTTTTTGTAAAGCAGATCTGTGCATCCAATAACATCTCATTTTAGAACTTTCTAACAAAAGTTAGATGAGTGACCAGCAACTAACTTTTGTTAAAAACTAAAAACTGAATTAAACGCATTGATAGAATTTTTGCCATATTAATAACACTTGAACACAAGCCTAATTTTAAACATATTTATATTCTATGAGCACCTAGTGTTTTTATGCATCTTCATAAGATACACATTAAATATGAAATATAGTAGTTAGACAACTAAAAATGGTATAAAGTTGCTGAAACCAAGAAGAGATTAAAAAAGAAAAAAAAAATGATGTTTGCTCATTTGGTAAGATTTTGGGAGCCATAAACTTTTTAGCAATTCCTTGTAACTTAACACACACTGATTGAAAACAACTAAGACAAAACTGTCTAATACAAATTTAAATGCAACATTTTCAAAATTCTGATAAATTGGAATTTTTCTTCATTCCACTTTCCAAGAAAGTTTGATCCTTTATTTATGCATGTTCAATATTTGATTAATTATGCTTCACTTATTTCAAAGTCACAAAAGATTTTACAGATTTAACAATATTTAACATGGCGTATGGACAAAAAGGGTTAAAAACGATTTTATTCTTTTATCAGAAAGAGATTCATTTTCCCAGGGCATTGAGAACAGATGTACAAATTCTGTTAGAAAAATACAAAATACAATTATTGCTGTCTGGCAAGACACAGCTGGCAGGACTTTCAGGGGCCAAAGTCAACTGTTGAAAGGTGTCTATGTGCTGAGAAAATTATCAACCAAAATTTCCCTGAGAAAAAATTATAGTTGTGAAGACAGAATGAGCAATTGTGAAGGCAGGGGGAGAAGTCAGGAAAACTGGCATCATATAATGGCTCCTCCCGAAGGAAGGGGGGGACCTTCCAAATTTGGGAGTGTGAAACAGAGAAAGAAGGAAAGATATTGGCTGAATTTTAGGATATTTGCCAAAAAAACACCTTATGTGCCTTCCCCCCATACCAGTTAGAAATGGACACCTATAAATACAAGCGCCTATATGAAGAGATTTTTGGTCTGGTGTTTACCAAGGATTTTGTGGACAGGGAGTTAACAAGATTTTTTGCCATTATGCTGTTTTGCCAACCTAATGATAATAATAATAATTATTATCTGCTGAAGAAGAAAGACTCTAACAATATCCTTGTGCCATCCTTGAAAGTACAATCAACAGTACTTGAAGTTAAATCTAGTTGTCAAATCTGGCCATCCTTAGGGGAGTGAGCTGAAATTTTCATTCCATTGCCACATATTAGAAACAGGTTGGAAAACAAGAAGATAAAAAGAACTGTAAATATTTTTTTTTTATTTTGATATAAATATCATCTAGTGACTTATTCAAGTGTCGTTTATTTTCAATTTTGTGTGCATGTTCAACTTGGTTTAGCTTGGTTGAGATACCCCAGTGATAATTCAACTTGACCCTCTTAATATCAAAAATCACAACATGGGTAAGGGAGGTCATAGTTGAAGAGGTCAACTTAAAGACTAGCTGCAGTGTCAAACGTCACCAACGACCGATGAGCGTGGGCTAACAGCTTGTTCTCTGATACCAGGATTGATCCTGACCAAAGACAGCAGGCTGCTGCCCCGGCCATGCCACATATAGAGGCAATGTTATTTATTGATCTAATATATCCACTCTATCTCAACAGTAATTGCTCAATCAATATTGAGCTTTTTCTTTTGAAAACATTATCTACATGTGAAAATCCATGAAATAAGAAATTATTCCAAATCATTTCCATTTTGGAAATATTTTTTCTTCTTTTGAAACAGTCTTCATGCTTGAACACAGAATATTCTATAACAAAGTTTCAGCAAGAAATATTTGTTCTCAGATTCCATGCACTGATCTTGCAGAGCTGCTTTTCAAGCAATAAACTGTGGTGGTTCACATATTAGTATATAAATGACCACATATATAACCACACAAAGTTGTGCAAGCAAATGAGATGACAACTGCAATAAATTTGAATGAGAAGATACTTATATGTTTATAAGAATAACACTATTTTTATAATTGTAAAATCAGAATGATGTAAAAAAAAAAAAAAAAAAAACTTTCTGCTAAAAGAATTACAATTAAGAAATTTTAAATAAGAGCATTTGTGTGCTAAAATAACAGAAAAATTTATTATAATTAAATTTGTGTAACTTTAGAAAAGTAAAAAAAAAAAACAACTTTTGAACAAACTGAAACAAAATTGGTAATAAAATTTGTATTGACTTTATACCATCAATTATTGGAACTAGTATCCTCATTTTCATTGTTTTTAATATGAAATTTCAGCTGATATACTCTTTGGCTTTCTACAAGTGTATATATCACCTCAAACCTTTTATCTGTTTGATAGGGACAGTTTTTCAACTTACAGATCCAAATAGTGAAATCCTATCCTCACAGTTAAATGGAGTTTAATTCCAAACAGTTTATAATAGCTTTTTGACAAACTCATCTGTTGAAACAGGTTTACAACAAACTCACCATTTGTAAAGAAAATGTGGTTGTTTATAAGATTTTGATATTTATTCATAATATGTTTAAGAAAGCGGGGTTTTTAATGCGACACAAAAACAAACACCTACTTGCAAACCTGAAACGAACGCCTTCTTTAAAACGAACACTAAATGACAGCAAATGAGCAAAATGGCACCCAAGACTGCTGCCAACGGACGACCAGATACAACAGCTTTTGTTGAAGAAAAAGACACCCAACACAAGGCGCCTTTGTAATCCTCGGTCAAGTCCATCAAAAAGGTGTGCCTGCGATAACACACACACATAAGTTCGAGGACACTTCATAGCATGCTAAATTATGTTATTAGGATAGAAATCGCTGAAAAAAAAAAGAGCATAGCTTGATGAAAAAAGACGCCAACCTTGCCGAAAAAACAAAATTTTATTGTCTAAATGCTTATGTTATTATTAAGAGGAAAGACCAAAATTTTTTTTTAATTATTTTTTAAAAAAATTCCTTCTTTTTAGAACATTCTAAATTTTGATTAAAAAATCTTTTTTCTATTTGTATCAGCGGAACTAGTAAATAACACAGACAATTTTTAGCACGTTTTTTTGGTATGACACACATTAATTTGAAAAATCGTGCAAAAATAGAAATAATTATCGGATGTTAATGAAACTTTCAGGAACTATTCACAGATGATCGAAATTATTATAAATATGTTTTTTTTATGAAAGTCATGGTAGAAATATTTTTTAAAATATTTACCCCCCCGCCATAACTAATTTTATGAAAACGCTAGAAATTCGATCGCATCGGTTTTAGTGATTACAATAATTAAAAGCACAGGGCTTTGAGGAATGCAAATCATTTTTTTTTGTTTTTAATTGGATACGCAGTACCTGAAAATCAGCTCTGAATTGTAACATACAAAACTCAATAAAACAAAGATATTATTTAATTTCAAATGCTTTTATTTGCTTTTAGTTGTTTTTATGAATATGGACAATATTTTCTGAAAGCAAAAAAAATTTTTTCGATGAAAAATGAATTTTAATACAATTATTTGTTATTTCATTAATTATAATAGATTTTACATTTAAGTTGTTAAAATATTATAAAATTAGTTAAAAGTCGCATCGGCTTTCATAAGTGTCCTTATGAGATAGATCTTTTTTTTAGCGCGTTGTAAATTGTATCATTTTGACTAATGAGAAGATCCCCAGTAATTAAGAAATGTAATTTTGTGCTTATAATCGAGCTGTAATTATAAAATACGGAAGACCAACCAGAATATAATTAAGTTGCGTTATTTGAGTTAAGCATTGTTCTCCGCTGTTAAGGCCTTTACTTTTTATGAAACACGTGTGGAGAAGTTAATTTGATTTTTCAATTTCAACTGAGAAGGGTACCTACAAGTATCAGTATCATCTTATGAAATTTATATGATCTTATTTTTATATTAATCTCAGTTACGACATTTTTCCATAAATGAAATATCAAAATTAATAATAAAATGAATGCAAATACAAATAACAGTAGAATGTAATAAATGTACATAAAATTATAGTATTTTATGTACAATTCTGATAAAATTTCATAAGAAAGGTACCTATAAATTAATTAGATACCTTTCTTAAGAAATATGAAATTTAATGTCACTCTTAACAGTTTTATTTTAATTTCTTTTTAGAATATATTTCCCATAAAGCATCATAAACGTAAAGGTGAAAAAAAAAAAAAAAAAAAAAAAAAAAATTAGACCGCTGAAAGTTTTCGTTAAAAATAACGGGGTAAATAATTTGTTCATGTAAATGTAAATTATTTCACTTTTCTCCTTCCGTAGAACAAATTAGCCTCATGGAATTCGTAAATATATCATTCATCACATGTCAAGAGACGCGAAAGTTTATGACCTGCTTTGTTTTATTTTCAAATTACATCTTTTTGGCACAAAAGCTAAGTTAAGTTTGGTTCAAAATATTTTAAATAAACATTATAATTTCTGATTTTCTTAAAATAAGTTTTGAAAAATGATAATTGATATTTAAAAAAATTTCAAAGTCAGATTTCCAATTTTTTTTTTTAAATGGAAAAAAAATGGTCAATTTTGCTGACTCAAAAAAAACTAGATTTTTAACGAAAATTTCGGACGTGCTAGGAACGATTAAAAATGGAAAAAAACCCCAAAAAAATACTTTGACCTTTCCTCTTAATAATAACAAACATTTAGACGATAAAATTTTGTTTTTCGTCAAGTTTGGCGTCTTTTTTTCATCATGCTATGCTCTTTTTTTAGCGATCTCATGGAGGTACCTATATTAGGATAATGTGACTAAACTTTGAAATACTATCAACCAGTTATGCTTACTTATTTAATCAAATGTTAACTATCTTCATGTATGTTTTCATATTTGGTCTTAAAATTTCTGCTGACAAAAGATACTTGCACTGAAAAATAAGAGATATCCTCTGATCATTGTACTAATAAAAAAAATAAAATATATATTTCAAATCAAGTATAATGGTATTAAGGAATCTTTAAAAGTTTTATAAACTCAAAGACTCACCTGCCCAAAATGTGCTGGGTAGCCAAGCATGTGTATATATAACAGTTTTGCCACATTTCGACACCGGTAAGTGTTATCTTCATCTCTGAAAGAATCTCTAATTTGGGCACATTCTTTGTTCACTACAGAACGTTCATCTGCTGCTGTACGGGCTGATCGGATCTCTCTTATCAGGTCCCGTAATCTCTTTGGTGTTGGCATACCTGCAAAGAAAGAACAAAAAAAGAATAAAAGATCAATTAGTTTTAGTTTCTAATTTATATTTTACAAAAAGCCTTTGTAGAATGTTGTCTACATTCTTCCAAGAATTCCTTGTTTTGCAAGTATAACAAAGAATTTCTAAGAGTGTTATAATAGTTATAAATTCAGGTTTGCCATTTTTACCTGTCAAAAAGATTTTTTTCAACAATTGTTTTCACATTTTTATCATTCCTTGGATATTAAACAAATTCTTAGCAACAATTATGAGTCATATGCAAAGCATCACTTTTTATTGTACAAAGTTGGAGCAAACATTTACTTTCTAATAGAGGAAGATGTCTTGTACTTATCAATGTTTTCAGTAGTGTCATTAAATATTATAAAGATAATCAAAAAGCAAAACTTTAAAATTACCTGATAAAAATAAAAGCAAAAAAGATTGTTTCAAAGAGATCTAAACCAAGAGCTTTATGAATTCAGAATAATAGTAAAAACTTCATTATATCAGTGTAGATCATTGCTTATAAATAAAAAAAAAAAAATTATGACAGTTATATGGTAAGCAAAGGGATGAAAAAAATAATTTTTACAACTGCCTTGAGGTAACTTGTAGGAAAAATGTTCCAAATAACATAAAATTTATGTCATTAACACCAGCTCATTGTTTCTAAACAAGAGATGTCCAGTGTTAACTTTGTTGATACTGGTCATCTCTAAATGATAATGGTAAAAATAAATAAGATCAATACTGAGAATATGTATATGAAAATTTTATGCTGAAAACTCATTACAACAAAGGAATAGTTTATGGCAAAAAAGTTGGATAATTTATTACTTTTATAACAAGTTGCATATCTTCCCTTTGATAGTTATTTTGAATAGAGCCTAGTAGTATCTTGGGAGCATAACCATTTTGTGTGTATATATATATATATATATATATATATATATATATATATATATATATATATATATACCTTTTGATTATATTGTTATTTTTAATCATTTTACTACAAGTAGGCAATAATACCACTAAGACAAGGTGTTACTGAGAGCGAAAGAAAATGAGAAAATGTTAGTGAAGAGAAAGGACAATAAAAGAACAGGATTCAAGAAGACGTAAGATGGAGATTGATGTTGCACTGAAATATTTGATGATTGTAGGTGAAAAAGAGAGAAGAAACTATTAGAATAAAACTTATACACCACACTATTTCAACAGTAAATCGGTGAGAGCTAGTTGCCAATCTGGTAGTGTACTTAAATTCATGCAGTCAAGGTACCAGTGATGAAAGCTCAAAACAACTGACATGTAAATATTTATGGAAAAGACAGAGAGAAGACATGTTATGACAGTGGGAAAGTGACTGAATTCAAGATTGCAGGTCAGGACCAAGGATCTGGAGATATATAGCAGGAGCACCAGACCAACTATAACAGCAATATTCAATGCACAAATGATTGGTAGATTTATAAACATGCAAGAAAGATTCAGGTGAGAATTGTCTGGCATGACACAATGAACTAATCTTCCTATAAGCAGACTTATAAATTGATCAATATAATCATTCCACTTCATGTCACTGGAAATGAGATCATGAAGGTGCAAAAAATTGCTCTTTTGGCAATTAGCATCAGTCATGCTAATAGAAGACAAAAAATAGATCTCTAGGATAACTAAAAAATATCAGTTTCATTTTAGAGGTGTTAAAATTTACAAGCAATTTCTTGCACCCAATTAACAACTGATCGAATGTTATTTTTGAGATTAGCTGCCAGTTTTACTTTATTGAACTTACTATTAAGACAGTAGTAAATAGTTTTGTCATTAGCATATATATCAATTTGGGAACTGATGACATCAGGAAGGTCATTGATGAAGAAACAACGCAGGTCCACGGATAGTGCCCTAGGGAAAAAAATTGATTAATATGAAAGGATCTAGAAGCGTGGTTGTTCAACATGACTTTCATTACATGATTTGTTAAGAATGATTGGATTAAGTCAAATATTTGGCTAGAGACACCATAGCCTTTGAACTTGTGAAGGCCAGCATGCTAAACCTGTCAAACACCATCGAGATATCTAAAGTCAAAGCCAGTGTTCTTATCAAAAGCTTGATAAATTCAGTAATAACCATTAGCACATCCATTAGTAGTAAAAGCCATATTGTTTATCTGAGACAAGGCCATGAGAACTGAAATGCTTAACAAATTCAGAGTACTCTAGTACTTTTACTTTTTTTTTTGCAAAGACTAATAATAGATGTCCCAAAATAAAATTTTATTTTCAATATATATCAAAAAAAATTTTAGTTCAGGCATAGAGATCTTGACAAAACATGAAAAAGTGGTAACAAATTTATCTTGGTAACTTGATTAATAACAAAGTTATGATCATATAAAGTTCTTCACTTTTCTGTCTCATGTGTTATTGGGCCAGAAACCCCTTTTAATGGTGGATAACTGAAGATTCTGGCTTCAAACAAGTGAAAAATCATTATAAATGTAATATACAGATAGTCTTGAAGTAAAGAGAATACTAATGGAATCAATAATTATTAGATATGACCAGCCTAAACATTATGGAATATTGTGTTCTCAAAAAATGAAATAATTAAAACAAGACACAGAAAGGCAATTCTGACTGCTCATATAAGTTTCATTTCAGTAGTTAATGCCTTGCAACGTCTTGCTATGATTCATAGCACAACAGAAATGGAGCTAAATTTTTATTTCCTTTGTACATCAATAAAAATCTCATATTTGAACCATGTAAAAACAGCCAGAAGCACAAATTTCTCAATAGGAGAAAAACAGATCAAAAGTATGCCATCCTGAACATGCCATAAAAAAAGTATACAGTAGAGGTACATGCCTGAAAATCTACTAATTTATGATGAGGCATTCAACAAAATTCTTTTCTCTAATCTTAATACCTTTTGTAATAGATATTTCTTATTTTGGAAAAGTTTGTGAAACAATAATAAGAATGGGAGATGGGAACCTTTAGCAACTTAACTTTAATAACTTAAGAAATTTGTTTCAGGAAATGAATCATTGATCAATCCTGCAAAGAAATGCTTATTGTAAAGTTTTAAATTAATTTATCTTCAAACTAAAAAAAACTGAAATGAATAAAAATACAATTATTAGAACTGATGAAAGACTTTCTAGACAACTGGAATGGTCCTCCTGCATTTCCTTCTCTGATGGTGATTTGCAGTCTGAATTTGATTACAAGACTTTGCTATAGCCAATATTCCTGGAACACTCCATATTCTATCATTACTTGAAAGTGGTATTATATCAATGTTCCATTTAAAGACAAATGTTGACGCCATTTGTGCAATATCATCTAACAAAAATATCATTTCTGACCTTGATTGAAACTAAACTTTTGATTACAGTACTAGGCAGTGGTGTAATATCAATGACTTGGTCAATGTAAAAGTTGGAGTAATAATATGAAGAACAAAGAGGGTAGTGTTAATGATAAGTGCATATGCAGACACATCTTTTAGCCTAATACTAAAAAAGCATTTATTTTACACAAATTTTTTTTTCAACAAAATTCTGTTGTAAATATTAATCACATAGATTAAGCATTCGATTGAAAATTTCATGACCCATCAAAGTCATAGGGGCACCACATATACTGCAGCTGCTTGTACTTCTACTGCAGATTAAACATTTTGTAAATTTCAAATAAAAATTCAGCTAGTAATTGTGTCAGACTATGGTCTTATTGATCCCCACACATATGGTACTTGGTATGAAAAATAGTCCCTTGTACATTGTAGAGATGCTATCCTTTTGCTGTTATTAAAGGGTCTTGCAGGCTTCATGAAAAAAAGTATCATCAAATAAGCAGAAAACCTGTTTAGCTTCAAGAATCATAAATGCGAATAATATTTAATCAAAGAAATATTTTCAATATTATTTTCTTACTGATTTTCATTTTAATATGAATGTATTGTTATTTTACTTTGGGAAGTTGCCCACATGATGAAAAATTAAAATGTTTAAATTTTTCTGGCAGTTTAATATCATTTAGAGAGGAAGTATGTCTGTCATAGTTTACCTAATCAATTTGCCACAACTGTTGCCTCTTGTATAAAGTTGAGGAAAATAAGGGTTAAGAAAGGGTGAGTTTACTCTTTCATAGAATCTTATAAGAAGTAGAAACAAAAGAGTGGAATATATTATTTTTTTTTTATAAGCATTTCACCCCAAACAAGGCTGGAATGCCACTAGTATACAAGGGGCTATAGAGAACGAAAGTAAGGGAAAAGACTGGGTAAAAGGGGGATTGAGGAAAGGAAAAAAAGAGGAATGGAGAAGGATAAAAGGAGGAATGGGAATCAAGGCATCAGAAGATGTCAATTGACATTACATTTAAATTTTTGAAGATTATAGTTATCAGAGAAGCAAGTAAGAGGAAGAGAGTTCCACTGTCGGGAAGTGTGAGGAGGTTACATTTAACTGTTTCAATAGTAAAAGGGTGAGATGGAGACGCCAACCTAGTAGCACATATAAATTCATGCAGTCGGGAGACTAGTGAAAATAGCTTGTTAAAGCAGATGACATGAAAATATTTGTAGAAAAGACAGAGGGAAGCCACATCATGTCTGTGAGAAAGTGACTGGAGTTGAGATCTCAAGTCAGGACTGATTGCATTGCATATCCGTGTTTGGATTTTGTTGAGAACCTCGAGATAAACAGCAGGGGACACCAGACAATAAATGGCAACAGTATTCCATGCATGAATGAATGATAGATTTGTAGATATGAAAAATGAAAAAAACCTTCTGGTGCAACACAGAGAATCAACTTTCCTTGTGGTAGATATAGCTATTGATTCAATGTTGATTTAATGTAGTTGTTCCACCTCAGTTCAGTGGAAAATGTATGACCAAGGTAAGTGAGGTGCTCTCGTGGAGTTGAGAATCAGGCGTGCTGATAGGAAGCAGGGAATTTTCTCCATGGTGAGTAAATGACAA